AAAAAAAAAAAAGAAGCTGGTGCTCAATCCCAGCTCTTAAGTCCAGTCACATTCTTGTTCTGAAGTCCAGTAAGACAAAGACTCCCTATAATAAAATCCCCCTGGTAAACGGTTTCAAACTGAGTTTCTGATACCTGCACCCAAGTCAGTTCTAATTCCACCAATATGGCAACTTGGCAGGGTCACCAGTTTATCATCCTAGCTTCATTTCCCATTATTCTGACCACACGTTTACTACATACCTACACTGACTTTGAAGCGTTCTGTCCAAATTCAGTTCTACTCTTGAGCCTTGCGGTGCATTCACCTGGGATGCGTTTCCTCCCTCTACCTCAAGACACAACATAAATGTCCTCTCTACTGGGGGCTTTGTGATGCTTCCCTGCATCCAAGCAAAAGACCACTCCATTCTCTGTGCTTATTTACGTCTTTTGTATATGCTTCTTTGATGACATTTATCACATTATATTGTAGAATTCCTATTTGCTTATGTACTATTTTGTAAGTTCTTTGAGGACAGAGTCTTATTCATCTATGTAGCTCTACTGCCCAACACAAATGAAGAATACATGGCAAGTACTTGATAAACATTTGGTAAATCAGGTTATTCCAACAAATCAAGTGAGTTAGCTCCTGCCACACAGCCTCTAACAAATCTGTCCCCCAAAGACATAACCAACTTATTGTCTTAAAATCTAAGAAAGCAATCATTGTGAATAATGTAATTCTGAACACGAGAGTAATTTATATGTGAAATAAACTGACTGGGGAAAGCAGTTATCAATTTTAGAGGCCCACAAAGCCCCAGTCTTATAAGGCCTAAATCAGTAATTGCAATCTTACACCTGAGACATTCATCATCTCTTCTTTCTCATACTTCATACACTTATTCTTTCTGCTAAATCCTTTCATATCTAAATACATGCCAACCATTCTTGTAGTTTTGCCATTTCATTGAAGCATCTTAAACTAGTTGGAAAACTAAATCACACAAACACAAAAAACTACCCTATCAGCTAACTTTAATAGTAACCTCAAATATATAAAGGAAAACAAATTTCCAATGGGTTGAATTTTACTTTTTGTTTTTAAAAATGTGTATTATCTGGAAAATGGGGGGGTGGGGTGGAGATATCCTTTGTTTTATGTTTTACCTAGTAACCAAAGAAAATAAAACACAAAATTCTTTGTGGCAGAGCTGGTTTATTGAACTTCATGGAAAAAAATGTAAGAGTGACAATATTCCATAACACAACTTAACTTTAGCTTAGATTTCATGAGGAAATATGTATTAGCAATATACTTTCAATAAAGCATTGTTATTAATAGCTTACTGCGTTCAATTCTGGGGTAGTGGTGGTCTCGAACTTTTCCCAAATATATCTGGTATTTTCAATCAAAGATCATAGTTAAAATAAATTCACACAGATGTACAAAATGTGTGATTTGTGCTTAAAAATATTAATAATTAGTTGTTAGTTACCGTTTTGGAAGTGATTTGTCAACAGTTAATGAAATACTTCATAAATATTTTGAAATATCTCTAAAAGCTTTATCTCCACTCTAGTATGTTCTTGTTAAAAATAAAAACATACATACAAAAATTAAAATAAATTGTTACAAATGAGATACAAATATTTTAAAATTAATAAATATTAAAGTGAAAAAATAAGTTCTTTCACAAAACTATAAAGAATAATACTAATGTCTTACAAAAAGAAGTTAAATCACTTTGTTTTAAACCATAGTAACAATACTAAAAAAAATCGTGCCTGGAAAGTCTATAAATCTTCTTTCCTACTTTAGAAAATGTTCTGAGAATAAACAGATTTCCTTCTTTAAAAAACCTGCTACCCCCATCACTACAGCTGTCATTTTTTTACTATAAAAATAGTTATAAATCAATGTTAATTTAGATAAAAGTAAAACAATTTTTAATTCCAGCATGATTTAAAAAATTGATTCATTTTTCTGAGTGCAAATAAAGCCAATTTGAGCTCTAATACTTAAAACTGAATAGTCACTTCCAGCAATTATTACTTTCAGTTAGTTCATTTAATATAATTATTTTGTCTTTATAGTTGAATTATCCAGTTAGGACTATCACAATAATTAAACAAAAATCCTAAACTAGATTAGATTTTATATTTAACTGATTTCCCACTTTCTGAAAATACTATAAGTACAATCATCTTTTGGCTTAATTTCCCCTAAAATTATCAAGGACTGCAATCTATCAGTATTAGTAAATGTGCACAATTCAGTTAAAATCCATGGCTTACATTCCATTTATGTAAATAGCTTCATATGCAAGGTTGCTATTTTCTATGTGCAAAGTCTCAAATTCAAAATCAAAGTATTTAGGGTAAAAAACTTTTTGAAATAATTCTTTTCATCACTGAGGGACGGATAAGATATTTTTCAATATCTAGTTTATTTTTCATACCAAAGAGGAAGCTGGTCATGATAATAAAATTTAAACATAATAGAAAACTGACATAACAAAATACTATTACAGCAATACATGTAGACTCACAGCAATTAGAGTTATACCCTCAGAGATACAATCCAAATGGAAGTTAATTTGTTAACTCAGCATTTAGTCATTAAACTGATTGGGGATGAGGAGAGAGCAAGAGATACCATGCCAGATACACAGTTTGAAATTACTAAGAGCTAAGAATAGGAATCCTGTGGTAGCCAGAAACAATGTTTACCTATTTTCTCCTAAGTTACAACTCAAATGCTTTCAATTAGTTTCTCACTGTTTAAAGATATCAAAATAAAATATAAAGCACCTTATTATGTCACTTCATTTGCCTTCAAATCTGACTTATTTTTGCATATTTTAATAGAGCTCAGTAAGGAAACAATTCAAATTACCTTTTTAAAAATAACAATGATTTTTGTAGACCTGGTTGATATTAACTAGAAATAACACATTGGGCATGGTGGTATGGACCTGTAATCCCAGGTACTTGGGAGGTTGAGGCAGGAGGTTCACTTAAGCCCAAAAGTTTGAGACCATCCTGGGCAACACAGCAAGACTCTTGTTTCAAAAAAAATTAAAAAGAAATATCAAGCATCTGGAACTGTTGGAAAATTCATCCTTTATGGATTAAGAACCAGAAAACATTCTATGCCTTCTTATCCCACGGGAACCAAAGTCCTGGCTCTAAAAATGTACCAATAATAACACCATTAAATATAATAATAAAACAAAGAAAGTCTGGGCACAGTGGTACATGACAGTAGTCTCAACTACTCAAAAGGCTGAGGCAAGAGGATTGCTTGAGCTTAGAGGTTTGAGGCCAGTCTAGGCAAAACAGTGAGACCCTGTCTCAAAAACAAAACAATCCACTCTCCCCTAAAATGAAAGTACAGGCCAGGCATGGTGGCTCATGCCTGTAATCCTAGCACTGTGGAAGGCTGAGGCTAATTGCTTGAGCTCAAGAGTTGGAGACCAACCTAAGCAGAGTGAGAACCTACCTCTACTAAAAATAGAAAAACTAGCCGGGCATGGCAGGCACCTGTAATTATACTTACTCAGGAGGCTGAGGCAAGAGGATCGCTTGAGCCCAGGTGTTTGAGGTTGCTGTGAGTTACAATGCCACAGCAGTCTGCCTGGGGCAAGAAAGTGAGACTATCTCAAAAAACAAACAATAACAGGGCAGTGCCTGTGGCTCAAGGAGTAGGGCGCCAGCCCCATATACCAGAGGTGCTGGATTCAAACCCAGCCCCAGCCAAAAACAAACAAACAAACAAACAGAAACAACAACAACAACAAAAAAATCCAGAAGAAAAAACTCTGGGTAAGAGGCAAATACCAGTTTTAATCCTATTGGGAACCTTTCCCATTCAAAGGACATTGAAAAATGTGTACTAAACCCTTAATATTTTTTTCAATTCCAGGAACATGGAACTGATCAATTATTGATTCTTAAAATCTCATCATGCTCTCTCATTTGAAGCTTTCTTTATTGGGCTCTCTATCAAAAGTTATTCTGATTCATCTATCTGCTTCGTTTTTAATCTCACCTGAAAACCAAAAACTTGCTTGTGTTGTCACAGTAACAAACTCAATTAAGGAAATACAAAATGCAAAAGTAAGCACAACAATAATAAATGGTAAAGGGTCAGAATGATCCATAATGGTTGAGTTAAATCTATTATTTATCACTGTCATACTTCAAAAGTATTTCTTTAGTCAAAATTAGATAGTATAATAAAGACTGTTATTTAGCACCAGCACGTCATTGTAGGCTTTGGTTCAGGCTTCAGAATAATTCCATTATCAGGGGGTTGACTAAGCATTAATGGTTTGTGACTCTTAAGCTTATGAGCCAATGTCATAAATATAGCTTCCACATGGTCATTATCATTGGGGTTTTTAGCAGAAGTTTCAAACAAAGGCATACTGTGTGTGTCAGCAAATTTCTGTGCCAAGTCTGTGGGTACCTGAATGGCACTTCTCAAGTCACATTTATTTCCAACTAGAATCCGTGGTATATCACTGGCTAGCAAATGTTGTTTGCATTCCTCTATCCAAGATGGCAGGCTGTGAAAACTAGCCATGTTGGTCATATCATACACGAAGACAACAGCATGTACATTTCTGTAATAGTGCTGTACCATGCTCTTTCTGAATCGTTCTTGTCCTGCGGTGTCCCATAACTGGATCTGAAAATTAAAAAAAAAAAAAAAGAAGAAGAAGAAAACTAAATATTTCATTCTAATTATATATACTGAAAATTTTAATTGCCTTTGCATGGTCTTTACTTATACTTTGATCCCTTTCAAGGTGTTTACATATGGAATCCATACTTCATAATAACAGTAGTTACCTCATAATTAAATCATAATACAAGTGTTAGAACAAATAATTCAATTTAGTGTTTTCTAAATTTCAGTAAATCAAATCTGTTTGCATAAAATTATAACAAAATTTTATTTAAAATGTTAAAAAATTTTTCACATTTTAACAAACATGTTAAGTATGTAATTCCAGTAAATTTGTTTACTATATGCTCTTCTTACCTTTCCTAGTCTAATTTAAAATATGAGACCTAGAAAAGATGTTGACCGTTATAAAGTCCAGCCTCCAAAGCTACATGTACAGGTATATATTGTATGAAATCCAGGATCCCTTGGACATTTTAAAAAGTTAGAAAATCACTTATATATCCTGCACATCTCTATGAACAAAACTATTCCAGCATCTTCTAGTGGAAATATGGAGGAATTTGGGGAAATTATGTCTAAAGCTAAATTTAAGTCACACACTATGATTTCCTTAAAACACTGAATTATCCCATGTTTGCTTACTTCCTAAAAAAAGTTAAATGGTGAGGATACTAGTCACAGTGGAAAAAGAGACGGGTTTGCTTAGATAACTTTAAAAGACTTCAACTTTACATATCTATGTGTGTGTATACACATTTATTTATTATATATACATAAAAAACTAGCATGTTGGCCATATTATACAGAAGACAACAGCATGTACATTTAAATGACTCTTAAAATCTCATCATGCTATCTTCATTGGGCTCTCTATTAAAAGTTATTCTAATTCATTTATCTGCTTCATTTTTAGTCTCACCTGAAAACCAAAATTTTCCTAGAAAAGAAAAATTAGACCTAGAAAAGATGTTGACGGTTAAAGTCCAGCCTCCAAATCCATATATATTCACATACACACATATACAAATACACATATATACATATATACCCAGTGGTTTTCTCTGTTGCCTAGGCTAGAGCGCAGCAGCCTCATCATAGCTCACTGCAACGTCAAACAACCTAGGCTCAAGTGATCCCCCTGTGTTGGCCTTTTGAGTAGCTGGGACTACAAGCAGGCATTAACACACCCAGGTAACTTTTCTTATTTTTTGTAGAGATAGGGTCATGCTATGTTACCCAGGCTGGTCTTGAACTCCTGGCCTCAAGCAATCCTCCCACCTCAGCCTCCCAGCACTGTACGGGTCATTTGCAAAGCTCTAGGGTAAATAGTACAGACACCAGTTCCAGCTCTTAGGCAAAGGGCTTGATAATCACTACTCCAGGAGCCCCCAACCCAACTTCACCTTATCTGCTCATCTACCCAAACTGTATAAAATAATCATGGGGGAGAATGAGTGGAAAAACTCCAGTAACATGAATAACCAGAGTAGATCAACAAGCCCAAGGAACAACATGGCAGGCACACCAGAAGATCCCATTCATAAACAAATGACTGAGATGTCAGAAATCGAATTCAGAATTTGGGTTACAAATAAGATTACTAGAATGAAGGTAAATTTGGAGTTAGAAATTCAAGGAGCACTTCAAAAGTTGTCTCAAGAATTCAATGAATTCAGCTCAGCACCTGTGGCTCAAGTGGCTAAGG